AATACAATGCCAAGTTTGCCATATTAAGATCTTTGAATTGTTTTATTGTGATGGTTTTTTCATGACTAATTGAGACTCTATGGATAATAATTAATAAAATTTGTATCAAATTATTTGCAGAATTCACAAACAATTTACAAAAAGAATAATATCAAACATACAATGCCAAGTTTGCTATATATTAACAAGATTTTTAAATTGTTTCATTGTGATGGTCCTTTCATGAATTATCAAAACTTTATGGACAATAATTAATAAAATTTATATCGAATTGTTTTATAGAATTCACAAATACTTTACAAAAAGAATAATAGATTTGTATTTGATTGTTTTACCATATTTGTACTTAATGATAGAAATTTTTCAACATTTCCATGTTATAAAAGGAAGAATTAGCTAACTTTAGTTTGTTAAAAAAAAAACAAAATGTCCGATTAAGAAGTAAATTATTTTTATGCTATAAACAGTGTTGCTCGTTATTGCAACACTAATAAATTGCAAGATGAATGGTCACAATTTATGTATTCTATACTTCATCTCAAAAATCCCTCTAGTTCTGATGCAGATCTATTTAAGGGAATTAATAGAAAAACAAGAATAGAGCTTCTCGAACAAGTCACTTTTTCTAAAATCGAAAATAATGTTCCAAATTTTTCTGATGACTTTGACGAACAGTTGGAGATTCCGGACCACCTTAAAAAAGCTGAAGACAATTTGAAAAAAAAACATATGCAAAATTACAATAGTATAATGAGTAGAAGTAACTTGAGAGTCGCTCAAAATGTACATCAATTCGGAATTGATGAATTAACTAATATCGATAAAAAGATCTTTAAAATGTAACATCAACCAATCCTCACTTTTTTTATTTTTTTTTTTATAATTTATTATTATTATTATTTTATAATTAGATTTTATTTACAATTTGAAATATTTATATATTTGTATTTTGAGTAAATATTATCAAGTTCGAATAAAGTTTTAATTTTTACGATATTATATTTTATTGATTACCATTGATCATTAATAGTTAGATTGGCCCAAATATTTTTGGGAATACTATCATAACAATTTTTACATAATTCGTAATAGTGTACATGATTTCTACCCATAAATCTGAATACATTGTAAGTTCCCATGAGACTATTTGTACACATAGGGATGTTACAACAACTGTTGATAATACATATATTTTTACAAAATTGTGATATATTACATTTTGTACATGTTGATTTATGATTCTTTTCTAATCTTTCTTTTGTGATACAATATACTTTTTTCGATAAGTCAAGAGTATAACAATATGGAGTACCTTTTCTAATTAGAAGAGTACTTGTTCTTGTGTGTTTTAACATTCTTCTGATAGGTTTGTGATCATATTGACAATCTCCGTATACACATCTAGTACATGTTGTATACTTTTTGTGAAAAGTAACAAATGTATATTTTTTTTCCTTTTCGAAATTGATGATTTCATATGTGTTTAGAATTTGATGAAATTTCGGGGGTGTAAAAAAAGTAACCATTTTTGAAATGATGGACATGAATAATTTATGATATAATCAGTTTGTTTTATCAAAATGTAATTGATCTTTAAAGTTTTCGCAATGCAAGAATATCATGATGATCAGTTTATTGGGAAGGAGATTAAAGAAATCGATTTTACTTTTTTTTTTCGACATTAATGATCTATTTGAGAATACAATAGATATTTATACATAAAGTATTATTTATTCTGTGGATAACCATAAAAGGTTAACTTTGGATAACCATAAATGGTTATCATGATTTATGGTCTGTAATAATATAAAATATCATGTAATTTTATTAAATTGTAAAAAAAAAATGAAGTGATCTTCTGATTCGATCATTGAGACGAGTAAGAGAATTAAGATCATAAGTGAATCTGATAATTCTAGATTCATACTTTTTCCTATTCATCATAAGGATTTATGGGAACTTTATAAGCAAGCACAAGAAGTTTACTGGGTTGCCGAAGAAGTAGACTTAACACGTGATTTAACCGATTGGAATGAGAGATTAAGTGATGATGAGAGAAGTTTTATCTCAAAGATTTTGTCATTCTTTGCAACAGCTGATGGTATTGTGAATGAGAATATTGTGGAATGATTTATGAGCGAGACTGATATTCCTGAGACCAGATGTTTTTATGGATTTCAGATAATGATCGAAAATGTGCATGCAGAAATGTATGCATTATTGATACAAACATATATTATCAATCCAGAAGAAAGATTACATATGTTTCATGGGATTGATAATATTCCGTGTATTAAACGTAAGACTCGATGGGCTCAGAATTGGACAAGAAATAAGAGACCGATTTCTGAGAGACTTGTCGCGTTTGCGATTATGGAAGAAATATTCTTTTCTGGTGCCTTTGCTATTATCTATTGGCTAAAAAAGAAGGGATTGATGCCAGGACTTTCCCATGCTAATAAATTTATTTCATGTGATGAAGGGCTTCATTGTCAGTTTGCATGTAGATTCTTTAATTATTTCGATCATCCTGATGATGATATAATCGATAAGATTTTTCGTGAGGCTATCGAAATTGAACAAGATTTTTGGGAAGAAGTTTTGCCAGTAGAATTATTAGGTATGAATAAATATTCATTGATCAAATACACAAAGTATGTGGCAGATAGATTGTTGGTAGACTTAGGTTATCAAAAAAAATATAATGTAGATAATTCATTTGAATTTATGGAAAATATTTCGTTGCAAGAGAAATCAGAATTTTTTAGTAGACGTATATCTGAGTATGGCAGTAGTCGTCATAGTGATAAAAAAATTTTATTTGATGTAGAATTTTGATTTTTATTTGATACAAATATAATAAATACAAATTAACCGACTTGCATCTGTCTTCGTGATCGACCTTTTGGTCGTGATGGTTATACCCAATTGTTTTGTGTGGGCTTGTGGATAGCCTTATATAAACTATTTCTTAATAAGAATATACCACCATTATATATTCATGGAAGTCCTCTTCGTTCATTGAGGATTAGAACATATCTGCCGGTTCTTCCACCTCTATTTACCTTAATCATATACAAACTAGGTAATTGATTGGGTCGTTGTACATTGGGAAGTTAACCAGGTACGAGATGGGGATTACGTATGATATTGTCTCCTACTTTGTGAATGGGTGTCATTTGCTGATTCCCATTTAGATCAGTCTCATATAGATAAATTCCATTATTGTATCGTCTTGTCATTTGACCACTGCTATTGAGTATTGGAACATGATTACCTCATTTATTCATCATCCATAGGTTGGGCAAAGCATTGACAACAGGTTGTGGCTGTAGAAATACAACTACTTGAACTACTGGTACTCTTGGTGCTATTAGTACTCTTGGTGCTCTCAATCAACCTCGTGGTCACGGTGGTGCTGGAGGGATTGTCTTCGAGTTCCAGATCGAAGATTATATCGATTTTGTTGGGTTACTGGTCTTCTGGGATTAGGACGTCTAGCTGCTAAGACAAATGACGTGAGATATAACAATAATGTGAGTGATAAGAATATTTTTTTGAAATTCATGTTGTTGATTCGTGTTATGGTATGGGACATCTATTTATATAGTTTTAGATTCTAAAAAAAAATATAAAAAAAGTGAGTATTTCTATTTGAGAAATCAAGAGAAGCAAAAAAAAAAAATAAATTTGAGATAACCTATCGTTATTTTTTTCGGAATAATTAAAGAAGAGTTTGTCAAACTTCATGGATTCAATATAAATATAATTTTTTGAATGTATAAGCACATGATCTTGCCAAGTGTTTGAGAGGATAGATTTTAGTGAACACGTGCTCATAATGTCATAGATATCATGAGCAAAATCGTCCCACATCGATGATGTGGTTGCCCCTTGAGGGGCCTTAGGGGTGATACAATCAACGATTGTGTAATGTTATCTGATTGTATATTAGATATATAAAGGCAAATGTTAGCATTGTCTCTAAAAAAATGTCAACTTTGGAATATATAAGAGAGAAAATGGACAAATTGGAAAATGATAATAAAATTCTCGCTGATGAAAATATGCGACTTCGTGATGTTAATACTGAATTATCAACGGATATTGAATGATTAGAAGAAGAGTTAAAACATTTAAAAGACAAGGATATGGACTTCGTTGCACCGAAAACATATCATGCAAGGCCTATCGATGGAGAATATTCAAATATATTTCATCGAATTATTTATTTCGTATCGACGGTTATCAAATTTTCTATACCACTATTTATTTGGAGATGTTGTACATCAGATTATCACAATATGACAATGAGTTGTAATTTTTCTATATTCAGGACATACCTATTGATGGCGTTTGGGGTTGTGGTACTTATTGTACTCCCGATTCTTATCTTGTTATTATTTTTTATTTTTAAAAATTTCAAATTGTTTATAAAGGTGTTTATTCCTTTACTATTTGGCATATTTTTGATCAAAATTTTTGTGATCGATCAATATATTTTTTTTGAATCGATATAATAAAGATAAATTCTGAGTAAGTGACATTGTTATCGATGATAAATTGTTATATTTTATTAACATATTCAATCATAGGTTCTTTATAAGGTCTATATCATATGTTTCATCTCAATTTGTTTTCTTCAGTCTTTTGTGGATATATGCCGATCGACAAACATTCAATATGCGAATTTTTAGTATCGATAATATTTTTTGGATTTTTTACGTTATTTTCATCACATTTATTGATAATACTTCCAATACGTGGATTTATATTATTGTGAATCTCCTTATTCTACATCATTTACGAGAAATTATTATTATTATAAGATTTGTTGCAATTATATCATTTACATTTTTTTATGAGGTGTTTGTGTTTACCTCCATATTTCTCAAGGTCACTTATGATGTTCTATTTCCAAAATGATATAAATAGATCATGTATTTTATTTGGATTTAATAAAGATGGGGACCATAATTATTAATCTTAATATTGTTCATATGATATATGGTGATCCTAAAAAGAGAAAAAAGTTTGTAGATGAATTGATGAAGTATAATGATTTATGCAAGTTACATTGTACTGTTTATTTATCAGATGAAGATGAGATTATTAGGAGACCAAAAAGAAAATGTGCAAAAACAGAATATAATGAATTTTTAAGCACTGAGATGCGTAAGATAGCATCTATTAATCCTGATATAAGTCATACTGATTCTTTCAAGATGGCAGTTGTGAAGTGGAACAATTGTAAACAATTTTCAGGTATATATATATATGATATTTTATGATGTTCAAAAAATATGTCAACTTCGATATCATCAGAAGTTAATCGTATTAATGCTTTAATTGCAAAGTTGAGAGCTGAGAATACTGCACTAACAAATAATAATCCAAGGATTGTTGCAACAGAAAAACAAGCAAATGATATATTAAATAATCTCGGTGTCAAGATAGAAACAGAAAATACGTTTGAGATCAAGATGGGAAAAATTGTTAAAGTGAGTGCAAAGGTAAAAGCTATCAAGTAAGATGTCATCCGTACCTTCAACTTCATCTTCCGAGGTAATTCATATTACATCAATAATTCGTGGTTTACAGGGGGAAATTAATTTTATCGATAAAAAGGTTAATGAGATATTGACAAATTTTGGAGAAAGTTATTCAATTGATGAGACCTTGAGGTCAAAGATAGAGAGAATAGTTTGTATTAGTAAGGATGCGTCTTTTATGGTATAGTTTTTTAAAAAAAAAATGTATAAATATAGAGTTGGTTCATGATGTTTTAAAAAAAAAATAAATGGACCGAGGTCATGTTCTTGATTTATTAATTATACTTTTTATGTTCGAGTGTTGTTTTTTATTATTTATTGTCATAATATATGCTTCACAAATTGGTAAAGGTCTTATTTCTATTCAACATATCCAACAGATGTTGACGTTATTTGCATAAAAAATTTTTACATCATTGATCAATCATATTGAGGGGTTAATACAATCTGACATCAACTAAGAGTTCTTGTAATCGACCAAAGAAACAAGGTGCTCCGAAGAAACAAGGTGTAAAGAGACAGAATAAATTGGTGAAGAAACCTACTAAATCTACTACAAAAAAAGCAGGTGTGACTAGGAAGAAAAAGGTTTCACTGAATCCGACTAATATGACCATTAGTAAGGTCGAAATCAGGTGTAATCATAGCTGTATTTGTTGTTTTCCCGGAAAAGAGGGTTCTTGCCTTTCGAATTGTTCTTGCTGTTTTCGACCGACGAATACCAATACGAATACTGTGAACAATGTCTTGTCAACCTCAACTTAGCTTTTGTCCGCTAATTTTTCCAGAGTTATCTGAATTAGAGAAACATTGCGGGGTGAGACCAAAAGTAGAAAGTCAAAGAAAATATAATTCAGTGATTCAAAAGGTGTTCGATCAATGAGATGTTAATAATATGTCACTTAGCACTGAAAAGAAATCGACATTTCTATATTGGCCTTCAATATATTATATTTCGAATATATTATTTCAAGATATGCCAGTAAACAATAATACACGTAATAAGTTCGTGTTAGATTTTTATTCCCTTTGGAGAGTCAGGGTATATGAAAATAGAAATGATACTGGTTCGAGTTGAATTGCACTTCCTTTGTCAGTGGATCAGGGGTGGGAAAAAGAATGATAAGATAAAAATTAATCCGATCAAGACAACCTTTCATGTCAGAACTTTGATAATTAATGTATCTACGACTTGTGAGCTTCCAACTTCTAATGTAGAGGAGAATAGACGACCGGTTGCTGATACAGTATTTGAAGATTTGAATAATTTAGTATATAGTCTGATAAAAAAAAATTATTTTGTGGTGTATGATAAGATTCATGAGATTCCGTGCATGGATTGCAATCAGGAAATATATATTTGTGATTTATGGAATATTGATAAAGAATGGTGTGTAACTCAAATCAGTATGGCTCAAGGAAATCGATATATTAGATTTAACACCGGATTTTATTATTATATTCAAGTCAATGATCTCGATGAAACGTATAGAATTTTGTGATACAAAAATTATTCAGATGAAATTCAAAGGTATTCTATTGGTCATGAATGTGATACTGATAGTTACTTGAGAGGTCCACCCGGCATAGTATTGGAGACTATTACTGCGACTAGATATATTAATTTAAACAGTACAAATCCTCAAGCTATAGCATTTACAATGAATACTATGTATATGATGGTTAAAAGTGTAAGAGATGATATTGATTCGCTCAAAAGAAACAGAGATAATTATGATGATGGTAATGATGATATTACTGAGAATAAAAAGTGAAAATTAATGATATATGTATTTTTTTTTTGAATTTGTTGATTAATTTTTTAACAGACGTTTTCGTATAGATCAAAATCTGAACAGGAATAATGGAGATGACAACAATAATAATAATAGCGATCATATTATTAATATTGAAAATGGTAATAACAATCACGATAATTGTTACAATGATCACAATGATGATAATAATAATAATGAAGAGAGTTTAAACAAAGATTTATTACCATTATTACCTACATCTGTAGAAGATACAAATGAGTTCAAGTTTGAGAGTAAATCGGAAGTTAATTATATTAGTTGCATACCTTGTGAAAAAGATTTTTTACCTAAAGATATAATAGATCATATTGTATAGCATTTTGAAACGAATCCTCTTCAATTCAAGAAAGACGTGGGAAAAAATCTTGGTATTGATATGTCATTTAGCAATTCTGTGATGTTTAATAGATTTAGAAAGAAACCAACGGATGAGAAAATCGAGAAATTGGTTATCAAAGTTAGCGAATTGATTGATATGTATTCCGATCGATTCGTTAAACATGTACCTGATGATAACAAGAGGATTATCTCTGAAAATTTTTCAATTTTTATCGTAGTTTTTGCTTCAGTGGCT